CTCTTACTTACCGTCAATTGCATTTTTCTAATGGTATAATCTGTTAGCACTTGCTCTTTAGTCAATTCAATTCTAAATGGCCCATAACTGGTGCTACCATGCTCAGGCCAGTACTGATGACACTTAATAGTAGTATCTTCCTTCAAATTAGTAACCATTACAATAACAGGTGGCCTCTCCTGCCAAATCAGCCTCCAAAAGTCAACCAGTGTTTTTGTGACTGGTCCTACAAAGGAGACATTAGTAAATTCACAGCTGCAATGCTGGTCAGGGAAGCATGAAGAGTAGTTATGACTAGTATGTTAATGATGGGTATATGGACACATGTGTTCATAGCACACACCATACAAAGAATAAAAATGTATGTCACAGGATTGACACATTTCCTCCCACTAATTACCCATTTGTTACAGTAACCTCTATCAGGCTGTCAACCTCTCTTACTCTATTTTATGACTACAATGCAGATCTAAGTAAATGCACTTACTCAGTACACAGCAACTAATTTTACATATCTACAATAACGTATAGCTAGTAATTTTAGAGTAAAATTATGGCAAATTGCAAGACTTTTGATGATTGGAGGGTTGTGCCATTGAGCATAAAATGATTTGGTGAATCGCTATCAAAATAATTCACCAAACTTTTTCCCTTCGAATTTACCAGCTATGCGTACAGTACCAGTTCAATTACTTGATACCGAACTGTAATCTTATTTACCTTGAGTTGCAATGTACTTGTAGTCTTGGGAATAGCCCTATAAAAAAAGGAACAATGGCATAAGTTATCTCACCATTTAATTTGATATAGCTTGGCTAAATATTGTGCTTCAATGAAAATATGTTTATCACTAGTGACTCACATCAATGTAGCAAGCATTAATATAGTCATTTTGACAGTCTGTGTTGCCTGGTATTTGGTTGAGCAGTATACGATTATCATCATCTATAAATGTAATAAACAATAAACATTCACGAGAAGATTTAGCAAACAATAGCAATACATAGGCCTCATATCAATGTACTGTGATATTGAAACTATAGGAGGTACCGGTATGATGTGATAAAAAATTAAATACAAGATTTGATAGGCTGCTATATGGATGTCAAAAATAGCAATTAAAGCTTAACATTTGTGTGCATTCATTGTTAATACACAAGCACTGTCATCATTGCCATCATGAAACTTTATAGATGTAGTCAGGCAATCTGTCAACAGATCATTACTCAGTTATGATGTTACAGCTATATTAGTTACACTATTATGATGCTATGTTGATGCTGGAGTTAACTTGGTTTAACTCCAGCCAGCATTAAGCATGTGTGAAAAGGTCAAATCGCCCATGCTTTTGATTGATAGACTATCTGGTCTAGTATAATCTGGCTACACAAGACTAATACACTACTATTGGGCCAGAAGCCCTGGTCATAGCCCTATAGCCATAATTTAAAAAATTCAGTCAAGGACATTAATATATATGTTATTATTACAAAGGCTTCTATTTAAATCACCTTTGTTACAGTTGGTTTTAAATGATAACTTACACACAACAATGTTTCCAAAGCGATTTAACGGTCTATTGCTTGGAGTAACAGCTATTGTTACTGAGTGCTCATTGTCACCACTGTTCAATGTCTAATGATAATAAAAATTGATAATGAATGAAAGAGAGACAGAGAAGATAAGAGAGAGAATCTCTTACACAATATTGATTTTTAAATCCCTCATTTCCTTTAGCATGTCCATTAGCTACAAATTCTCCAAATTGTCCAACAGGTATTAAGTTTTTACCACTTTTAACAGCTGAGGTACCATTACTTGGCATCCTGGCCTCTTCCACTGCAACTGTGAGTACAACTTGTTGACTAACTGTTCCAGCATCATTATTAGCAACAAAACGATATGTTCCTTTATGTTTCTCCTCAACACTCACTAGCAGTAGACTACCATCTCCTCTCAGCTCATGAGCATAATCATCAGTCACTGGCTCTCCATTATGATACCAATTAAAAGACAATTTCAAAGTTTCTTTGACTTTAACTTTAAAAAGAACTTGACAACCTTCCTCAGTAGTCTTATTACTAGGGAACTCTTCTATCACTGGAGGTGTAGCAGTTTTGAAAGGAGCTGGAGGGGGAGGAGGGCCACATCTTGTTTCCACTAAAAGAATTGAATCATTAGGAATAAATGAAGGAGTAGCATAATAATAATATACACACTCATTATTATTCATACAAATTATAGGTATCATTTATCCTCTGTGTTTCATAATTTTAATAGCTTTAGATATTTAAGGATTATTCTATGTATACTGCTCACATTTAACTTCTTCATATTGTCCAACATGATCAACACTATAGGATACTGCTTCAAGTGCTGCTGGTTTAGCTCTTGTATTGTAATAAACAACTTCATGTTTCCCTTTCTTTTTCCTAAAGCACATTCACTTTATTCTGCAATGTATAACAACTCACTTCGAAACAACTACTACAATGATTACAATGACTATTATTATTAGTAACAGTAATGGTACTATTATTCCTGCTGCTATAGCACTAGTTGAACTACCACCAGCACTACTCTCAGTTGGATTAGAACTAGGAGCACTAGTAGTCACTGGAGTACCTGTACAATATGACCATTGTGTGATTGATAATCACTAGTTACTTACCTGAAGTATGTGAAGTTGATGCCTGCATTACAGTTGATGTCTGTATTAAAGTTGAAGCCTGTATTACAGTTGATGTCTGCATTACAGTTGATACCATTGAAGTACTTGATACTATGGTAGGAGTTAGTGTGACACCTAATAACATAAAAATTATAGTAAAATATTACAATTCTTCTATATGCATACCTGGCGGTATTGGTTGAGTCCTCTCTCCTTCATAAATGATTCCATTACTAGTAAATGATGTAGATATAGAGAACAAGTAGTTCAGATTAGGATCTAATCCTCCTATTAGACCTTCAGTAGTATCACCTGGGAATACTCTCATTCCTGTCTCTACTTGTCTCTTCTTTCTTGAGGAGCTACTGGTTGACTCATAATAGACAGTATAATGACTAGCTCCAGAAACAAAATGCCACTCAGCCCTTACTGCTGTAGAATTGAGCTTTGTAATAGAAAAGGTTTGAATGACAGCTAAAATAGAAAATACCAAATACAGTGTTACATTATTTTACTATTTTTCATGTAATTGATAACAGTATGCTATTTAAAACATTATCATCATAGTATTCTCAGTAATTTCTTACGTATTTCAATAGTAGTGTATTCTCTATTAGTCCATTCTCCTGGTCCAATACTAGTATATGCTCTCACTCCAATAGTATAACTAGTATTAGGTATCAAACCTAATATACTGTAATAAGTGTTAGTAGTGTTAGTTATACTGTATGGACCAGTACTGGTAGACTCTCTATATCTTATCTCATATACTGTAATGATACCATTAGGTATTGTAGGAGGATTCCATGCAATAATTATTTCAGTTAGTGTCCTTACATGTGTTTGATTAGATATCACACCAGGAACTGTGTTAAGATCATGTTAAACTGATCAATATCTCATTGACTTACTTGATTCAGGAGTTAATTGTATTTCTTGTCTAGCTGGTCCAGTCATATTATAATTATAAGGTACTATACTCACAGTATAGTTAGTATATGGTATTAATCCATTGAGATTATACATTCTGTTGTCTCCTCCAGTGATATTAACAGTATAACTAGTGTTTGAAGTGATGTTAGTGTATGTGAGGTAGTATCCAGTGATTGGTCCATTCCTTCCATTGCAAGGTACTTCATCCCATGAGACAGTCATTGACACTGACTCTACTGATGAGAATATAACATCACCCACTGGTGCAGTAGGGGCTATTGAGAAAGGACTAATAAAAAACTTAAACTAATTCTTCACTTACCAGTTGAGAGTGTAGTAACAAGATAATTAGTAGTCAAATTAGCCGTCTCAGCTCCATACACTCCAATAAGATCAAAGTCACATTGACTGTAAGGAGGTATACCAGTTGAAGTATGTGGTGATGAAACTGATGTTTCACTATTACTAGTGACTGATGATTCACATACTCTCCTACATCTCCTACTAATATTATAACTAATTGGTACTAGAGCAGTTGGTGGACTCCATATTAATGTAATGCCAACACTTGTGATTAGTGTAGCTGTTAAATCACTAACAACTGGATTACCTAAAATCAAAAATTAATTAACATAATATACTGATGCTGATAGCAACTTACTAAATGTTAGCATAACTGAAGCATTACCACTAGGTAGAGAAGCTGATCCATAAGATACTACATAGAAAGTGTATGTACTTCCTTGAGACAACGCTGCTAATATGTTGATTGTTGTGTAACTAGTGGTGGATACACTAACAGGAGTATTACTAGACAGTTGATAGTAGACCTCATAACCAGTAGCTCCTGATACAGTAGACCAGGAGAGTCTTACTTGAGCTAAACCAGTACTTAATCTCGTAGCAGTTAAACCAGTTGGAGTATCAGATACTGAAAAAATAATAAAATGATAGATAGTAGTTTAATCACTAACCTGATACATTCAATGATGAAGTACTATTCACTGCAGTAACACCACTGATGTTACCAGCAGTTACTCTGTCATTAGACACAATACACTGATAGTTACCAGCTTCTCTCAGTCTCACTGTTACTGTCACTCTTGTAACAGATCCTGGTCCATTCACTATCACACGACACAGTTCAGTAGATATTCCATTCCCATTCACTGAACAATTGACAGTAGTAGGAGGACCATCAGAGACATTGAAACTGAGACTGAAGACTGGAGGAGTAGCTAATCTACTAGTGGAGAGGAGAGAGAACTGCATAGTAGGATCAGCATCAGGACCATCTGTAAAAGAAGTACATTAATTATAGTCTATATTCATCACATACCATTGTTATTGTATCCAGTATCAGTATATGCTCCAACCACTAGTGTTTGATCCCCTCCAACCTCATTTGGAATGATACACTGGTATAAACCTTCATATCCTGATAGATCTTCTCCACCACTTTTAGCTAGTGCAATCTGACCACTGAATCTCTTACTGAACAATGCTTGACTAGGAGTTGATTGATGACCAAAATTTCTATGAAATAAAGGTACTTCAGTTCCAATAGGATAATACCACACTCCAATATCAGCACCACTGTTAGCACTCTGACACCACAAAGCATCAACAATACTGCTGCCATCATTATTCTGATCAGTATCATAAAACTGGCTAGAATATATCATAGAGTAATCAGGTATTACCCTGTTCTCATAGGCTAGGTATAGTCGAACACCTATTAGTAATGTGTAACATTTGCTTATTCAGAAACAACTTTTATTTCACTCTTACCATTGCTGGGTAGTGTGGTGGGTTCTTGTCCTCCTACTTGAACTATTGACAGTATAAGAAAGCAGCATATACATTTCCACAGAGCAGTAAGACTAGAGCAACCAGTCAATCTCTTCATCTTGCACTACAACAGGAAATGACCTTGCAAATAAAATATGCAACACTATTTACAAGTGGAACAGGAAGCAATCCACAGTAAAAATTCTGTCCAATAGATTATATAAAAACTAACTTAACTCAATTACTGTCACATGATCACATATTATAATAGAAGTTAATGATTCGCATGATAGAAAATTGGGTCACTTAAGTTTTACAAAATGTGCCATGCCATGCTTTTGATGCTGCAAATTGCTTGATCCAACCACATCACTTCCTGGTGTATTAGTTAGTATGACGAGTCATATGATTAGTGAGATTGCTTGGAAAAATTGGATTAAGCAACTTACAAAGCACAATATAGCATTGACAGGTAAAGAACTTGCTACCAAAATGACATGCATAGCATCAACATTCACCCATTATGACAAAGGTTAATATTACTATCAATTTTTAATGAAAAATTAGTCAGTACAAATAAGTTACAAATTACACAAACTACAAAAATTTCCATTAATTGTGTGTGTTTTGTGTGACAGAAAGTAGTAGAGCAGGTACAAGCAGTTCTTCATTATAATTTGCATTTTAGGATCAAAGGACTTTACATAATCATGCACCTAAAACTTCACGACAGAAGACATAATTATGATCCAATCCATAAAAAAGAGAAAGGATTAAAAGAAAAAAGTAAAAAGGGATAGAGAGAAAAAAAGGGGGAGAGAGAGAAAAAGGGGGAGAAAGAGTAAGGGACAAGAAAAAGATGCAATAAAAGTTGTTTGTTATAATGTCATTATATGACTAGGAGAAAATTCTTATATTTTCTGATAATAATAACTATTAGTTCTCTCTTCTCCTGTAGAACAATAGATAGGTACTATTGTCTGATATATAATTCTTTGATATTCTTGTGACATTACATTATACATTTATAAATGTTCTTATGTGTATAAATGTACATGTGCGTCTGGACAAGTTCAAGAATATAAATGCACTATAGAGGAAAAAGGAACAAGAAAATAACAAGAAAGGAAGAGATAAAGATAGTAGAACTATCATAATAATTCAGTTTCCTTAATAGTCAAATGTGTTTGGTATGAGTTGTCTTTGACGATAATAAAAAAAACATCAACTTCTCCTTCAGTTATGAGCCTCTTGATTTGAGGGTGCATGCAAAGGAAAGCACCTGATCTACATGCATCAACATTGTTATGTGTGTCACCATCAGTAATGTATCATTGTATAAAAACTTTATAGGCACAAGTTTTTTTAATTGAAGAAAAAAGAATAAATATTACATGTATATTCTCATACATGTCAAAATTCTAAACATGAGGGTTACATGTACATCCTCCTTTAACGTCAAATAGATAGATGTCAATTTCGAGCGACTTTAAAAATTCGTAAAAATCCAATTTTGATCGGGATCAGCGCAAACTTTCTATGCAACATAATTACTTGTATATGTATCTTAAAAAAATAAAATAAAAACGGAGAATTCTCTCCTAGTCATTTTTTGATAAAATACCCTGGACTATAGTTTATGGACTGTGGTTATTGTTATTTAAACATGTAACACATTCACAATTATTAAAAAGTTCATTCTCATAATTATTATATTATGATATAGCAATACAAAATATGTATAACACGTGTTAATTGATTAAAACAAATAAAAGTAAAAAATTCAAAGCACAAAATAAAACCAAATAAGGGCAAATTAAAAACAATTTTTATTCCAATATAACGTAGCTATACTTCTTAAGTAGTGAAGTTTGAATAAGTCTCAAATGAATCCAAGTAGGTCAGTACAATCTGAAATATCCCTTGATATTGTTGCTAAGAAAAGAACAATATGCAAAAATATATTTATACAGATTATTAATTTAAAGTATACTTACAACAGTCTGTACACTGCCTGGTTTTTGAATACGTTGACTTTTGAGTACTTGAAATACATCAATGACTCCTTCAGTTTTACATTTATTAATTGTTGTAGCAGCTGCACAAAACATTGCTGAACGACTAACTGTATCACTAAAAAGAAGGAAATTAAAATCAATATTTAAATCACATTTCTTTCTCACCTGCAGTGTACTACAATGCTTGTGTTTCCTCTTTTCCTTTGTGTTCTGTACATTTCTTCTATTACCAACAGTATAGTCTGAGGGTTAGTCAACTTTCCAGTGAATCCCAGTTTGTTATCTGGTACT